CCACAGGGAAGATTATTCTGGACACGATTACCAAATGGTGCTGGATTTGCTGGTAGCGTTAAAGAAAAGAAGTCCCCTCTGTGTCAGCTCTGAAGCGCCTCTGTTGTGAAGCATCGTGTTCAAGGGACATAGTTATCCACGGGGTTTCACAGACTGGGTCTCCAGGTTCCGGGGGCTGCTGACTGGGTGTGTTCACGCCTGACTTGACAGGCTGAAGAGATTTTCAGATTCCTCAGCAGGTTACCTGTCAGGTAAAATGCTGGTACCCAGAGCCCACACCTCACCAGCTTGCACCCTAGAAAATCGGCAAGGACTTAGGGCTGACGGGCACTCCTCTGAGGAGCGTTTCCTGGCTTTGAACTATAGCCAATGGTAAATAACGACCCGAGAGTAGGTTAATAGCTGCGAACCTACATTGTCTGTGAAATGAAATTTCACCCTTAAGAGTAAAGTCCCATTCGAAACTTAGATGTTATTTCACAAATAATGGGAAGCAAAATGCATTTTAACGAGACAAAATAGGGCATAACAGATTATAAAGATTGCCTAAAAAGGGCCTAGGGCGGTCCTAGCACCGTGACCTGCTGGAGGTAGATGAGGCCGGAGGGGCCCCCCAAGAAGGGGAGGACCAGCTGTCGGCTCTTGTGTTTCTGCTTCAAAGGAGCTTGATTCCATAATGGCCCCGTTGACACCCTCCACCCCCACCCCACCCCCATCCCCCACCCCCCACAGCTCTGAAGAGGCCCAGAGAGCAGAGAAGAGATAGAGAACCATTAGAGACTGGTTCTAGCCTTCCTGGATCATTCACATAGCCCCTGTCCCTTGGTGAAGGAGACCCCTTGGAGGTTTGTCTTGAGCATATTGTCTCTTGCATGTCGCCCTGACAGAGAGATCCCTAGTGTCTCTGACAGCTGGCATTGCTCATGTTAATCTTGATGCCTCTTTCTGCAGGCCCCATTCTCCAGCCACAGTCTTAGACGAATTAGTCACTCTCTGAGCCTCAGTATCCCCCATAAAAAACAGGAATAAAAACGCCTAGATTGCAGAGTTGTTGACCGAATTGACAACACTGATTTATGTGAGACACTTGTAAAGGGCATCGCGGCAAATGCCATGTGAAGATTGGCACTATTTGGTTGGTGTTATTAGTGTCATGAGTATGAGTGGATGACACTTTGAGCTTGGCCAAATTGAGAAATGAGGCACTCTTCCTTGTGCTGATGGTTAACTTCATCTGTGCTGTGTCAAACCCCTGAACACACATGAATTCACACACACACACACACACACACACACACACACACACACACACACACAAGCACATGATAGCTGGATGCTGTGGCAGTAGTGTACATTAGCGGGTTCTATTTCTTTTCCGCTCCTAATTATGAGACGATAGCAGCTACCATTATATATTTAGCACTATGTAACTCAACTGGAGTACTGATGGAGTTTATATTTCATGAGAATGTGCTCTCCTGAAGTTCATGTGTGCCTGTGTTTGCTGTAAAGAAAAGCCTTTCAAAGAGAGAAACAGAAAGGCACCAAAGGGCGGCAAAGAGTCTAAGCAGGCACAACAGTTCCCTCATATTCTTGGAACTGAGAGACAGAGGAGACTTGGGCCATTCCACACAGCCATGGAAAGACCTCTCGGTTCCCAGGAGCAACTTAATAGAAAACATCCTTCAGCCCTACAGAACTGTGGACCGCTACAGCCCATGGTGTGTAACACAAAACACACGTGTCTTTTTCCTTATACCTAAATAAATACCTCCCGGGGGAAGGGGAAGCGCAATCCAGTAATCTGATTTGGTGACGTGTTTCGGGAAAGAATGCACACCCGAGGGCCGGCACGCAAGATGCGGAAAGCCATCAGCCAAATGAAGCGAAGAGGACAGACCCACCGCATTGGGACAGGGTGGAAAGTGGGCAATGCTATCGGCAATGGAACGGAATGGAGCCCTTTGGGGGCTGTATCATTTTCATCAGCCTGAGTCATTGCGGGAGACGGGGAGGACCAGTCCAAATCTTATTACTTAAGAAGCCTCAACGCTGTCGTGGCAGTTTTATAGGTTGTGTGCGAATATTCATAAAGCCCACACTGGGTTTTATACGCCACGTTTCTGAATGACTCCAAGCAACGCCTTCCCATTGAGACAATTGACAGGGAGGTGCCCAGGCTGGAGGACTGTTGGCGAGCCCTTGATCCTTGATCTCCGCAGTGGCCTTGGAGGATGGAGTGGGGCAGTTCTGAAGGCCAAAGTCGTGGGACACAGGGACGGCCTCCTCTGAGGGCCTAGTGCGTCTGTTTTGTTCTGAGTGTGTTGGATAATTTTTCGATAAGCCGGAAAGTGGGGTTGCCAATGCCGCTGCTTCTTCATCTCCCTGCTCTGGTCTAATGGGACTGAATATTCATGACCCAGCCTCAAAGCATCCTAGACAATGTTCTGCTGCTACTTGGCTTCCTAGGACATAAAATTCACAGATTCAGGAAGGTGTTTCATCACTGTTCCCTTCTCCCCTTCAGGTATGGCCCCCAAATTGTCACTGAATGTACACAACTAATCCAGCCGCTAGCCTGAGCTAATTGGGTAGTGCTTTTGATTTAACTAAAAGTTCAAAGCTGACTTGTAAACTGTGGAAGTAAAATGAAGTAAGCCAGACAAAAGAATTTGAAAAATTCAAGATATGGTGGGTAGGCATCACAGAAATGAAGTGAAGAAAAAGCTTGCTAAGTCTGCTTTTAATAGTCACAATCAAAATAAGAATATTCAAGCTGGGCATGGTGGTACATGCCTGTAATCCCAGCAGTGAGAAAGTTAGGTATGAGGACCCAAAGTTCAGAGCTAGCCTGGGCTACAAGAATGAGTTTCAGGCCACCCTGAGATAAATGAATACAACTGGTCTAGGAAGTATCTTTAAAAGCAATAGGAGCTTGAAATTTTCTGTTTAATTTTTTTCTTATACCTATATCAGGTCCAAGACGAAGGAGAAAACAGAACCATGGAGTTTTGTGAGATAAAAAATTGTGTATACACACACACACACACACACACACACACACACACACACACACACACACAGAGAGAGAGAAATGTGTAATAAAGTGGCACCTTGAGGAAATGTCATAGCCTTAAGTACTTATCAGTGTTCACTTTCGCCTAAAAACCATTAAGGAGAGAGAGAAATAAAATGAGTTTGAGGAGATTCCATGGAGAAGTAATAAAAATAAAAGGAGAGAAGATAAAAAGTAGAAAAAAGTATAAATAAATCCAAGAGGTATTCCTCTGGAAAAAGAGCTCTGCTAGAAAATTCAGTAATTATTAAATGAGTACATTAGAACTGTTGAAATAAACTAATAACCCAACCAAGGGGAGAAAAATATAGAAATAGGAAAATTCTCAGCTACAGGGGATGTATTCAAAAAATGAATAACAACCCTGCCTAGCACTACAAAAATAAGTGTGAAAGCCGTTGTTCTCCAAGAAAACATAAATTCCTAAAAGTAGAAGTCAGCAGAGGTAGTCATAGAAACAAAATGACCTGCCGCAGAAGGATTTCAGAGTTATGGAAAAGCTCCTGGAGAACCCTCAGCCCAGCTGGGGGTTGGATGAATTATCTCAGCCTGGAGAAGTACAAGTGCTGTCACTATTCTCTAAACCGCCACGGGTCCTCGGGAAACAAGAAGCACTTCCAAAACCGTTTTCATTCCAATTTTTGAAGACTTTCAGATTCGCAGAGAACTGTAAGGACGGGACAGAATTTCTGTGTGTCCTTCTCCCGGCGTTCCTTGGTGTCACGGTCTTTTGTCTCCATGGCCCATGGGTCAGAACTGAATGCTGCACCAAAACGGATGCAGAGTCTGTAGCCTCACTTAGAGTTGCCTGTGTTTCCACTGGTGACCTTTTTATATCACAAGAGTTAATCCAAGGTAACAGAGCATATTTAACATACACCTTTATGACTCAGAAATGTATATTTAATTATAAAATTTGACAAGTCTTCCCCAAAGAAGTTTTTTGTTTTGTTTCTTGGATTTTTTAGTTTGTTTGCTTGGATTTGGTTTTGTTTTCGGTGTGTTTTTTTTTTCTTTTTAGTTTGTTTGAGAGGAAATATGAAGTTGGTAGGTGCTGTGGATCTGGGAGGAATTAGAGGGATGAATATGGTCAAAATACATCACAGAAATGATCAAAGAATTAATAAATATACATTTAAAAGACAAATACAGTGTAAAAGAATATTTTTTACGAAGAGAGAGACTATCTGGTGCCACACTCAATAAGAAATACAGAAGTCTCACATAAATGCACTCCACAAGTGAAACCATGTACAGATAGAGCAAAAGTGAAGGAGAGCTCTTTAACAGTGGGTAAAGAAACTCACTGCTGTAAAGATGACAAATTTCCTTAATCTGCAGTTTCAACAAAAATCACGACAGGATCACATCCTTCTTTTTAAATGCACAAGCTGTTCTAATTACTTTCTGTTGCTGTGATAAACCACTGACCAAAACCAACTTGGAGAGAAAAGGATTTATTTATTTACACTTTACAGTCCATCATCAAGGTAATCCAGGGCAGGAGCCCAAGGGAAGAACCTGGAGATAAGAACTGAAGCAAAGACCACAGAAGAGTGCTGCCTCCTGGCTAGCTTGCCTTGGTTTTCTCAGCTCGCGCTTTCTTGTACAACCCAGGATCATCTGCCCAAGGATGGCGTTACCCATGGTGAACTAGGACCGCCTACAATAATTATTACTCAAGAAAATACCCCCACAGACATGCCCACAGGCCATTCTGATGGAGGCAATTTCTCAAATGAGGTCCCTTCCCTCTTAACAAGGGACTCCATTTGTGTTAAGTTGAAAAAAAAAAATCAACACGATAGACTTCTTTTCAATTTCACACACAAACACATCACTATTAAACCATAATCTTTCTTTTCTTGTTTACCTCTAAGACCTCATGTTAATATCATAATATAAAATGCAGTTCAACTTTTTTTTTTTTGCTTTTGAAACCAGAACATTTATTTTATGACTGACTGAAATCCTCAAGATGAACTGGATGCTGCAACAGCTGCCCTCTTGGGTTTAGGTGTTGTCCCTTCACGGAATCCATGTCTGAATCTTCGATAGACAATTTTCAGGTGCCTCATCTGCCCAGTACCGGTAGTGTTTCGTCTCTTAGCCTTGGCACTCCAGTTATACTTTCTCTTGCGCTTGGCCGGGTAGCCGCACTTGCCACAGGTCGACTTCTGAAGGTGGTAGGCCTTAGAGCCACAGCGGCGGCAAAGCGTGTGCGTCTTATTGCGACGCTTTCCGAAGGATGACGTTCCTTTCGTCATCTTGCTTCTGCCGCGGAGGCCAAAAGAGCCAGTTCAACTTTTTAAACTCTTACAGACTTTTAAAATTTTCAACACTTTAAAAAACCCAAGATCTTCTGAACTGACAGCCAGGGAGCCTGCATGGGGCTGGCCTAAGCCCTCTGCATACACTAAAGCTGTGTAACTTGGTCTTCTTGTGGGATCCCTAACAGTGAGAGCAGGAGCTGTCACCGACTCTGCTGCCTGCTTTTGGGACCCATTCCTCCTCCTGGATTGCCTCATCCAGCCTTAACAGAAGAGGAGATAGCTAGTCTCACTGCAACTGGATATACCATGACTGGCTGATATCCATGGGGGGCCTGCCCTTTTCTGAAGAGAAACAGAGGAGGAGGGGTGGATGGGAGGGAAAGGTGGGGTGGGGAACTGAGAGAAGAGGAGGGAGGAGAAACTTTGGTTGGGCTGTAAAAACAATCAATAAATAAATAAATACAAAATAAAAAAATACAATCTCAAAAATAAGCAAAACATGATGTAGATGATTTAAAAAAAAGTCTCTTAACTGTGTTACACGTTTTCTCATTCCAAGAGAACAGAACCAAGACGTAATAATAATCACACTTGAACAAAAACAAAGTTTAGCAATGTAGCTCCAAATCTTATAGCTCCATGTCTGACATTCGGGACTCAGCCGTGGTCTTCTGGGCTCCAAAGGGCTTCCGTAGGCCCACCTCTCCAGTCTGCAGCTGGTCTCCCAGGCCCAGGCTGGCTCTGCTGCACACCATATGCTGTCTTTGGCAGTATTCCTGTGGTCCGGCATCTCTACTGTTCTAAGTTCTTCACAACAACTGAGACTGCACCTTCACCGATGGCCTCTTCCCGGCCGCTCACAGCGCCAAGCCTCAGCTGCTCTCCATGATCCCTTCATACCTTCAAAATCAGTACCACATGGGAGACTCACACACATTCGGTTTCTAGCTTGAGATGCAGCTGAACCACAGCTTCTGTGTGCTGACACTAAGGAGACACTCCCAGAAGATTTCATCTCAAAAATACTGCTTTCTTATTAATAACAGCTGATTTTCCTTCCGTCCCGACTAACCAGTTTCAATTGTCCCAATAAGGAAAGGTTTCATTTCCACTGAATCTTAGTCCAAAATATCACATGAATGGCCCCTCTGAAACTTCACAAGCCAGCCTCCCTCTTCTGCGACCCTCTCAATATTCCTCTCACCCAAGCCCCTGTAACACCTTGTTAAGCTCTGAGCATCAGTGGCTTTTCCAACCTGAGGTTCCAAGTGCTTCCACAATCCTCCCCTCAACTTTGACGGCAGCACTTCCCTCTCTCCTAGTGACTTTTCTGTTGCTGTGATTAAACTGACCAAAACCATCTTGAGGGGAAGATTATATTTCAGCTTATACCTTAGAGTCCATCATCCAGGAAAAACAGGCAAGCGCCCAAGGCAGGAAACCTGGAGACAGGGACTGAAGCTGAGCCTGTAGAGGAATGATGCTTTCTGGGCTGCTCAGCTGGTTTTTTGGTTGTTTGTTTGTTTTATACAAACCAGGACCACCTGCCCAGGGGAGGCACTGTCCCCTGGTGGGCTGGTCCCTCCGAAAAAATAAAAGCAAAGAAATGCATTACAGACAAGTCCACAGGCCAATCTAATGGAGACAGCTCCTCAACTATGGTTCTATTTCCTAGGTGACTCTAGTGTGTATTAAGTTGATTTAAAATGAACAACAAGGACACAAGGTAATATGAAAGTCACATGGGGAAAAAATCCAGGAAAACTGAAAACTCAAGGTCCCCAAGACAGGATTGGATTTATCACATTTAGTACAGTGGAATCTATAGTTTTGTTTTCATGGATCAACAAATACCAATGGAATCTTGTGTAGTCAGCACAGAGACATGCCAGACAAAGGACAGCCACAGATACAGCTCAGTCATAGAACAGTCTAGAATGCCCGAGGCCCTGATTCCCATGTCTAGCACCTCAAAACAGAAGTATATGGGATTTTGTTTAATGTAGCTGGGCTTGAAAGAAACAGATAGAAAGGTAGATTATTCAAACCTGGTGTTGGGACAGTTGGGTAGCAATCTGAAAAATAGTAATAAATAATAATAATGTGATCCTTATCTAACTCCATTTAACAAAAACCTTGTAAATGTCTGAGACAGTTAAATACCTGTAAATGATAAAACTGACAAGATATCACATAAGGCTCAAGAACACTGAAAACATCTCGAGTATTTCTGACAATACACTGCGCTAGTAAGATTATAAATCCAATCATATAATTATATTTTAAAACAGAAATAATATGGTCACATATGAAGTAAAAGATGTAAGTCTCTGTCTGGGGAGGAAATAAGTCACGGTCTGGTAGACGGCAGGCACAGAAAAACAGATTTCCATACTATGTCGTGATCTGGTGAGATTTAATAAGCTAGGAAGAGGTAAACAAGAGACACACAAGCCAGGCTACTTCCAGGTCAAGTGAAACAGCAATGGCTGCCCATCCCCAATCATCATCATGCCGCTTTCTTCCACTTTTAACATATAGTATGCTTAAAATCTTTCAAATTGGCAACGGCAAAGAAAAGTGTCCATTCCCGTGAAGAAACAGGATAATCCATGAGACGTTCGACTGGCGTAGCCTGGGAGGTGACTTGGTTGGTGTCTCTTCCTTGGCCGTGTTTCTCCTTCAGTAGTATGCAAAGACACATAGAAAGAGACTTTGGCAAGAGCCAGATGCCTACCAGTTAGGAAACGCCAGTGAAATGATGGTAAAAGCTGACAATGGCGTCCACAGGAAATAGGATACCCACTGCACAAAGGGAACAGAATGGAAGGAAGGAAGTGGTGAGATGTTGCTTGGATCGTCTTCCATAGAGGATGCAATGATTTTTATGAAGCAAGAGTGCAGTGGGTCCCCTCTGGAGATTTGCCTGGTCTAGTCAAGTTAGTGGGTTCGAGCATCTGGGGCTCGTGTACTGTGCTGAAATGTGTGATAAGGAAAAAACGTGGTGGCTCTAGGGTGAGAATAGTGGCCACAGACAACGTCAGACTCCGAATCTTGGGTTGACCCCTTCAAACGGGCAATACTGGCACTAAAGGAGCTCATAGTTGAACTCACCCCATGTGATGGTCGAGAGAACCAAAGCTGTATGTCCAAGTGTCAAGCAAAACGTCATAGAGGAATAAAAATACGTAAGTCAGCCATCACCCTGGCTAAGGAATGACCTGGTAATTCCTAGCCCCATAGGTCCAGCAGGAGGCAGGGTGGAGTGTGCCCATTCACTTGGTAGAAGGTAGGGAAGGTTCAGGCTCAGTGAACTCCTGGAATATTCACACTCACATCCATTTGGGCAATAGGAACACCTCTGGAGCAGGGAAGTCACCTAGGAACGGATGGGAGGGAGACTTGCTTTCCACTGTAACGCTCACCTTTCCCCTCCTACCTATATGACTTGCCTTTTTAATTAAAAAACAATTCCAGTAGTAAGCCAATAATAAGCCAAAGGGTCTCCTGCTCCAGCTCGGAGGAATTCCGCGTGCCCACGTCCTTTCTCTCTGCCCACTGAGGCTTGAGCTATCCATAATCAGAGAGTTGATGTAGTGCCCGTTCCCAGTGCTGTTGACAGACTACAGCTCAAAAGTCCCTTTATGAGACCTTGTCCCTCGGTGAAGCTTGCAAATTGCTCTGATCTTAGGGGACAAAGCCATTGCTCATTCTCAGAGTCTCTGAGTATCCTACACAATAACCTAAGAATTGGTGAAAATTACCCCAGATAAAGCGTCTTTTAGAACATCAAAGTCCCTGATTTCCAGGCTGTAGGCTGCAGGTATGCGACAGGCCTGACAGCCCAGATGGAAGGCAGAGATAAAGGGAAAAGTGAAATTCTCCTGGAGCCGAGCACAGCCCACAAGGATTTCTGCAGAGGGGATTAATGTTACTCTCAGAGGTGTGAGCACATTCGGCTTTTACCTTCAAGACCAGGTAATAATCAGTGGCAGATAGCAATCGACAGTTTGGAGGGAAGGTCAGCCTTTCCCACCCCACTGCAAAGCCTGTCTATCCCCTGCCCTGCTTGTTCAGCTCAGGCCTGGGAGGTTTGGGGAGCACACATCCTCCATGTTTCAGCTAGATTCTTTGTTTCTGACATGACGATTTGACCACTCACCCATCCCATTTTTGTTTCCTTTCTTTTTGTTGTTGTTGTTTGATTTTGTATTTTTAGCACTAACGATTGAACACAGAACCTTGAACATGCTAGGCCAGTGCTCTCCCATTGAGCAGCCTGGTCAGCCCCTTGCCTCTTCCCCCTTCTGCACTCTGCCATCAGGAGCAATTGCAGACTTGCTTACACTTTTGAAGGAAAAGCTTCCCCAAATTCAGGTTCTCCTTGACCAACGTGAATGGCATCCATAAATACAGCCAAGATGGAGGCACGTATGCATTCCCTCCAAGACACACAGGAGCAGCCCAATACCAGCAGCACCTGTCTGAGATTTACCTAGCCTTGGAGAGGAAAACAAGGCACCTTAAAACTCCTCTAGAATGTTCTTTATACTCCTGCTGAAAAGAAAGTATTTTAAAGGGACACACACACACACACACACACACACACACACACACACACACACACTAAAATGGCAATGCTGTTTTGTTTTGTTTTCTATTCAACAGCTAGACTGCCTTACTTAGCATCAAATGTTATGTTCCTAAAACAGAGTCACCAAATTGACAAGCTCTTGTTTCTTGAATGTATGGGAGACCGAGAAAGAAGGGGTTGGCTAGTATAGACATGATACCAGAGGATCTGGACACTAGAAAGAATATCCCCAAAGAAACAAAAACCAACAGCAAACAAACACAATGCTAAAACGCAATTTTGATGAGAGCATAATTTGATTATTTGTAAACCAGGTGCAGTATTTTCAGGAAGAGTGGAGGATAATACCAAGAGTTTTTGTGCTCTGCTCCCTGGCTAAGGAAATTCAACCTTTTGTGAAACACATTAACTGCTCCTTG